AATTATCCAGAGGCAGAATTAAGATGTTTCAGTGCTTCACTCAAGTTGCATAAGAAGCATCCAACAGTTTACTGTACTGTACTGTAAAAGGCATGTTTATTTTCAGGAATGTACACTCCATCCCAGCCAATGAGATGAGAAGCAGTACAGTGACTGTGATGGATCCTATAACTCGGACGTCATTGATCGAATCCACAATTTGTGAGTCATACTCCTGTTGCATCATAAACATGTATCACACTACAATTGGCATAATGTTGCACATACAACAACGTCATGCAACAAAAGCACTGTGTTCATTTGAGTCATTCTTACAACGAGAAGATTGCTGACGGTCTCCGAAAATCCCACCGTGTTGAGCGGGCAAGCGAGAGCATTGGCGAAAGAAAACACCACGCCGATGGGACCCCCAACTCAGGACCCAGAGTACGAGAGGTCATGAAGTACGCGCCGCCTGACGGGTGGAGGAGAGATATGAGAGAGATCAATGTAGTAAAGAAATATGATGCCTGCTGGTTGCTTAATGGACAAAATAACCATGGTTAACTATTTTTTTTAAAGAAATAAATAAGCACAAATACACATTTATATTATTTATTTGATATACTTTAATGTTTATACGTTATATAATGTATTTAATTTAATGAACATTGTTATATTTTATATAATTTACCCAGAGTTAAATCAACAGAATAAATAAATGAAGAAAGAATGCCATATTGTAGATTCTGCACCACTTCCAATCTAATAGCCTACTACTTTAATCAAGCTCGTGACATTGAAATGTGAACTCCTTGCACAGACCGATTTTTCTTTGGGCAAAATAGTAGATTTGGAAAAAGAAAAGAAGATGTTTGATTTTACTTTATGGTTAATGGCTGCTCTCCTCTTCCTTTGCAACTTAATTCCTGAATGTAAAAATGAACAAATAGCTAGATCACACCACCACCAACAAGATGGTATAAAGGGCTAAAGATTCTGACTTCTGATGTAGATTGCATGATATGTTTGAAAGTTTATGATATATAGTCAACAGAATATCGAGATTAAAGCCTTTAGTTGAATTGACAGTACTTTCTATACACAAAGGCAAATGTACAGCAAACGACACTTAAATAGTGTACTTTATTGTTACTGATTTTACGATCTTTTGGAGAAACTCCTTTTAAAAACGTAGACTTCTCATAGGCCTCGAGGTCTCAAGTTCACTAGTGTAAAGAAACGAGTGATCTTGGAGAGGAAACTTTTTAAAAAAAGTGTTCAGGGCTTTACACAACTGTGAACTAGGCCTATGCCATAATCTGTCTATGCGCACACACACTCACAGGTTTGTATAAAGCCCTTATCTTGAACAGTTTGTTGGCTAACTGCTCATTACTGGCTGACTGAGGTAATCTCTGGTGTAGTCGGCAGAACTTTCTAGCGAGTGAGACTCATCTGCAGGCCTGTAAATGGGTGCCACAACGGTTCAGATCATTCCTGGAATTAAGCACAGCATTAAAAATATGGTCCAGGATTATAATGTTCTGCAGAAATCTTCAGCTTATCGCGCCACATAAACAGCTCTATTAAGAACATTTTATTAAAACTTGGATGTTCGCGTTCATTCACCCATACCGACGATTAAGTGTATCGCTGCAAGAGCAAAACTGCATTAAACACAAATTGTATTTAATTTAATTTAATTTAATTTAATTTAATTTAATT